AGTCGAAACTTCAATTGATCGTTGCTCATTCGTTTCTCAACCGAATTCGCTCAAATTTGTTGCAAATCAAAGCTCTTCTCATCCATATTCCCGATCTATGTAAGTTTTCCTCCAACTCACACCGGCTTTTATGAATTATTGGCATGTTCATTCACGAATTTCATGAAAATTCGAAACTTATAATGCTCAATTTGCTTTGTTTATCAAATTTTATGCCATGAAATTGCTTGTTTATGTTTGTATATTGCCTTGGGAGTAATTTGAGACTTGTTTGACTCAATTTGGTGAAGAAACGAGCAATCCACCATTGTTGAACCTCTTAAGGTCGTGAAGAACAATACGACTCGTTCTTGATGTTTTTGCTAGCCATTCTTGTTCAATTTGTCACAATAATCACTATAGTGTTGCAAGAAATTGTTTGATTGCTTGAAAAAAATGTTGTCAGGCTCAATTTGAATTTGTGCTCTGTTTTAGTACTACGTACTCTGTTTTCGCGAACATAGTATCATGCGGCTAGGCAAACCTTTAGATACTATAGAACCTTAATTTATGATGATTCTGCACAATGTAGCATGGCTAGACAAAGAGAGTCAGGTTCACGGTCCCGAAACACTAGACGGGAGCATGAGCCCGTGGAGGACGACACTACACCGTCCACTTCGCTTGGTCGGTTCCCAGAGTGGAATGAGCAGACCTTGTTCTTTGCCCCTGTCCACCACATTTCTGATAGGAATATTGTCCTTCGAACAAGTGTATTATTCCGGTAGAGGGTTCGGATTATTAGAAAGTTAATTATTCAGTAAGGTTAAGTGATCGAAATGCCTAGGTGGAGGCCATTCCGATCGGTAATATTAATGCACAATTAATATTACAGCTTAATCTTGACTAAACCCTTCGGGTCACACCCAAGCAACTAACGATCCGACACGATGAATTAATCCGAAAGGAATTAATAAGTCACTCGAGTACTGTGAACAAAGAATTCAGATTCTGAGCTTAGAGCATCGGACCGAATCTTAAAAGTCGAGCCAAAATTTAGGAATTGGCGAGACGGAAAAATGCTTCAAGTAACAAGTAAAAACCCTAGCCGAGCGAAAGGCTAGGGAAGCGCACCAAATAGAAGTTCACCACGTGGCAACACCATGTGGTAGCACGTGGTGGCAGCCACCAAGTGGAAGCACCATGTGGCAACAGTTCAAAACTTGTTTTAAGGAGGGTAGATTGTAATACCCTAAAATTTTTCTATTTTAAGTTTCGGGGATGAAATTGGTTTTAAGGAGGGTAGATTGTAATACCCGAATATTTTAAGATTTTATCTGATATATTTTATGGCTAAAATAAGATATTTTAAATTATTTTATGCCCGTGACTTTGCCTCTTGGGTTTTATTGATATTGTTTATTTTGTTGGTGCGTGATAACCAATTCACCAAATACCTCCACTCCTTTAATTTCGGGTAATTATCACTATATATAAGAGATCACAATTTTGGATATTTGCTGATTAATTTGGAGCATTATGCGTGAAGTCTTGGGTCGCTATACACAATTCAGAAGTTCGGCACCCCTTTGTTTTATTTTGTTTAGCCGACGGTAATCACACTGTATCAATTTGGAGATGTTTGATTGTAATATTTATTATGAGTAATCACACGGATTTACTTTGGAATTGTTTGTATAATTATTGCTTTATATTATTGTATGATTTGATATTTATATGCTTGAGTTTATAGCTATGATTGATGTGTATAATTTTATGGTATAAACTGATTTAATTGTATTGTTATTATTGTTGTATTAATTGATTGTTCTATTTTTCTGGAATTTTTAATGTTGTTATAGGGAGTATTGTTTTATCGAGGTTTTAGGGTTGTTAATGCAGAGTATTATTTTTGGGTTAAGATTTGAGTATATTTGGGTTATTATTGTTTTTTTTTAAGATTTGAGATATTATGAATCGAATTGTTACATTATTTGGAAACATGTGGCATTATTGAGATACTATTTATTAGCCTGTGAATGGTTAGTCATTTGATCAGAATACAAGATTAAAAGGTTGAGAATTATTATTTTGTTCTTGGTTTGAGGCTCGGCGTTATATAACTTAGTCCTTGTGGCTTGTTGGTAAGAGGGTAATAATCATGAGTTAAGAATAAGGTACAATCTTTATTTTTTATTTTTCTATGGTCACCTACAGTGGGAATTGGCCCGTATGTGGTCTAGTTCAAGTTTTTTTTTTGGTTATTGAGAGTATTCAAGTTTTTATACTTGTTGGTTTGTTATTCGAATTACCCATGTCCAAGGCTAGGTATAAAACAAAGAGTGTGGCACATTTATGGGACAGATGAGTTGAGTAAAGGTTTGTATTATTATTCGAGGTTGAGTTGATAAAGGTTATTTTCAAAGTACAAAGTGTTCTTACCCATGAGGAATCAATAATGTGTAATGTAGTTCTGAACTACATTTTATTAATTATTAAATTAAGCTAGTATTGTCAATTATCCTATTATACTCTATATTCTGATATGTGGTGATTACTCAGCTTTGCTAACGTGTGTGTTGTTTGTTTTGTTGTGCTACTTGTGTTTGCGGCCATGTCTCTTTATTATGGTGGCCCTGTGACGCTCTATTTTGGAATTTGTCCTTAATGTGAGCAGTCAAGATTTTCTAAGCAGGTTTAACAAGTGATCGTAGCTAAAGGAGCTCAAGTTGTTTCGATTAGTATGGTATAACGAGTTTGTATAGCAGTATAAATAGCTCACCTAGTTTATTGGGTTGTAATTATTGGGATTTTGTAAGCCTTAACACTTCATATGTTGTCGAATGTGGTAGTAATACCTCCGATTTAGGTGTATGCTTCCTCAATTTTATTTAAAGGTTGTCTATTTTTCCTTTATCTATTGTTTATTATTAGCTAGTAAATCGGGGGTGTTACATGCGGGCTCGGGTGACGGGTCATGGATGCGGGCCAAAAGGTGGCGGCCCAACCGAACCTAACTTGGGGCTCAAGGTTGGGTGCCACATGGTTAGCTCACAATGCATATGAGTTGCCTTGAGGAGCAAGTGAGGAAGTGGTCCTCACCTAACCATGTGACATTTGTTACTTTGTTATTCCTTGGTTTATTTAACTAAGGATTGAATCCAACATTCTTTCTATGTGAGATCTTTTTGTACAAAAGTCCCACATTGAAAGATGAGTGGAATTCACAAGGAAGCACTCCTTATAAATAGACAAGGCATGCCTTGGGATTGTTCACTCGAGTAAGAGTTAGAAAAGGCATCTCCACTTAAGAGAAAACTTTTAAACTCATAATTACTCGAGTAGTTTGGTCAGACTTGGCTAACCTCCAAGTAATATACCTAGCCGGGGTCGTGTTGCGGGTGGATATCGTAGGAGGTTTTCGTCCGTTGCGAGACTTAAGCTTTCTCAAGTAAGAGCTCAGTGAACGAGCGAAGCACGCTTCAATAGAGGTAATTTCGTCTTTCCTTAATTCTTGTTAATTATGTTTTTTTTATTATATTAATTGTAAGTTTGATCTTGGCTCGGGTTTTATTTTTAGCGATGAGTCGGACTCATCAAAACCCAACACCTTTGAACCTAAGGAATATTGTAGAGGAGATAAGGTTTATGGCGGCGAAGATCAATTTCTTAATTTGTTTGAAGGTTCAAAGGGAACTCGTCCAACTAGCACATATAGTAGCAAGACATATGCGAAAATGTTAGTTGTTCTCTTTGTTTTGTTTGTTTCTTATAGCCGTTTTTCTAAAAAAAAAACCTCTTCTGGTTGTTCGTTTCCTTCGATCTCCTTCAACAACACCAACATATTATCAAAGCACCATAGACGGCCATTCAACACCTTCTCCATATCCTTCCAAGAGAAAAATTAGAAAGCGAATAAATTAGGTTTAAGCAACCTAATTGCACAGCCATGAGCAGGTGCCTATATTTTATTAATTGTCTTCTTGAAAGCTTTGATATTGTATGATCATTCTGTCAACAATTTTCCCAATAGCATAAGGGCTAGGTTATTTTCATCCCCCTCGCAATCAATTGCGCCCAAATCAATTGTTGTTTTCTCCTCCTCTGCAATACGCAGGTGAGAGCACACGTCAGCAATTTCATCTTCCATAGCAAGAGCAAATTGGATCGAATAGCCGGAGATTGGAGCAAGCTATCGAACGATAGAGGTCGCTCTTTTTTCAGAGAGAAAACCCTTTCTTTTGAGGGAATGGGTGCACTTATGTGGGTTTGATTAATAATTTCAACATATACTATATAATGAAAGGATTATTGATCCAAAATTCCAAAGAAAAGCGGGATCATTGAAAACACCAACCAAAAGAGAAAATAAGGCTATGTTTAGTTCACATAATCTGATTTCAATGTTTTCTAATCTGATATGATTTTCAAATTTGACCAAATTTTAACCTAATTTGTAAAATAATGCACACGATAAAATAATTTTTTAAATTACAAAATTAAATAAAAAAGAGAAAATCTGACCGGATCTGATTCTCATTCGATCCAATGTATTCCAACAATCTAATTTGATTTTATTATTTATGAAATCTATTTCTCCACACTAATTTCTTTTTAATTTTTGTAAAAAAACTCTACACTAAATTACAATTGTATTTGGAGGGAATTTTCACTCTTAAACTCTTTATTTATTTATTTTTATATTTACATTTATAAAAGCTTATACTTACAATTGACTATTTTGTGTTTTATTTCTCTAAAAACATATTTATTTTAATGTTTTTTTTAAATGAGTGGATATTTAACTATGAACTATTAATGGTAATTTAAAAAATCGAGCACAACCCGAAAATTATCTATGAGTAGTAAATTTAACAAAATATATCTTGAATAATATTTGCCCACAAGAGAGGGAAAAATGTCGTCGGCCATGAAATGGATATTTTTTAAAAAAAAAAAAAAAAAAAATTAGGGGTTGACGTTTGATTTGGGCTTTATATTTTGGTTGCCTTCCAACCTTACACCGCTTTTTTTTGTCTAAAAACCCAAAATTATTTCTTGGCGGCCAGCCCTCCTCTCTTCTCTCTTTCTCTCTCCTCTTTTCTTCTTCTCGAAGCCTCTCTCTCTCCCCTCCTTCCTAACTGAACCGCCAACTTTGAGAGGCTCGAGATTTTCTCTCTCCTCTTCGCCGGATCTCTTTCTTCAGGTTATTCTTCTTTTTCTTTCTTTTTTCCTCCTTGTTTTTCTGTTTTTTTCGATCTGTTTTTTGTGTTGTTTTGATGGTTTTTTGTAAATTAGGGTTTTAGCTCTGAGAAGGGTTTTTATCGAAGTATGGGAAATTTTTGTTTGTAGTTTGATTGGATATTTATGTTTTGTTGTGTTATTGATTGTTAGTTGATTTTTATTGGGGTTTTTTTGTTGTTGGGTGAATTGATTTGAAGTAGGGTTTTAGGGTTGAAGGTTGGAGAGAATTTTGTTTTGGGTCAACTGGTATTGCTTTGATGATTTTTGTGATTTCATTTTATGGCTTATGATATGACTCGTGATTTTTCGAGGTTTTTGGAGTTTGATTTGCCCAGATTTGAAGATTATTTTGATATTTTTGGGTGGAAGGAATTGAATGTTTTTCTGGGGTTTTAACTAGTGTTGTTAATTCAAACTGTGTAAAAGGAATTCATTCTTTGAGGAATATTAAGGTTTATTTGTTTTATTTGTGATCGATTGTTATCTGATTTCGGGTGTATGTCAGCTACATATATTATTATATCTCGATTTGTCGCTGCGTTTTCAGGGTTTGATGAATGATGTGTTGGGTTATAATGAAGATGTTAAAGAATTTGTACTTGTCTTTGATATTTTCAAGTATGAGTAGTAGAGTGAAGTTTTCTTTCTGTTGGTTTTGATATTTGCTTTGATTCTTTTTGACATCGTCTTTGTATGTAAGATTGTTGCACTTGATTATTCACTTGAGAATTACGGCGTTTTGTGGCATGGGCAAGTGCAGGTCTTGTTAAACAGTGTTGTTGTTCTTCAGATCTGGCATGTATATGTAATTTCAAGCTGTTTACGTATGTTAATTTCTGGACCCCTGTTGATGTACTTGGCTTTGAGTTGATGCTGTATTCATTTATGTTCTGTGAATTTAAAATGTTTGGTTTGAAAATTGGAATCATGTCAATTGTTGTTTTTACCTGGAACTATATAGTTGGTTTTGTGCAATTTTGATATTGAATTAATATACTATTGCGTTTTATATCTTTTACTTTTCCACATTTAAACTGATGACTTATTTTTCATTTCTTGTTTTGCAGTGACTGTGTGCATTTCTGTGTGCATATCTTGAAGAGGTGCCAGATCTCTATTCAATTTTTGTACTATCCCCTTATTAACTATGGCAGCTATTGGGACACCCTCAAGTGGTAATACCTGATAACTTCAATTTACTTTGTCTTCTGACCTCCCTTTTTTTAGTTCTTTGTGTTTTGTTCGTCTTGTTGGTAGTGCTGGTTCATTTTCTATTTTCTGTATCATTTGTTTGCTGTATCTTGGGACTTGTCAATATTGGTCTTCGTGTGGTTTGGATTCTCATTTTTTTATTTGCATGCTCTTTGACTGTATTTTTGGAATATCCTTTTTTTTTCTTTTTCCTTTTTTAAATATTCTGTTATTGATTTTAATCTAACTAATCCCATTGTTTTTCGGTTCAAAACCATTCATAGTTGATATGTGATCTCTATTTATTTTTTCCAGTCTGTCAAGATGCAGTTATGCATTTATTTTTTCTCATTGCTTGCTATGCTTTCTTGTTTTGTAATGTTGCAGATGCAGCAGATTTGTTGCAGCAGCTATCTCTGGAATCTCAGACCAAATCTCTTGACGCTCATGAGCCTCCAAAAAAGGTGGGTGCTCTATATGCATGTTTTGCTTAAATGAGTGGCTCCCTTCTATTTTACTCTGATCTGTTTGTTAATTTGATATTTTGGCAAGTTCTTTACAATTGCTGATTTGCTTTGCAGTTTGGTTCAATTGGTTCTCGCAATGTTATCAACAGTTTGGCAAAGCCATATGAGCGTTCTACCATACCCATCCAGGATTATGCCAACCTGAGCATGTACTACCAGCATAATGGCTACCCCTCGGCTCCCTTCTTTTATGGTATAAGGTTCTTGCTTATTTGTTGAAACTTTTTAGCCTTTGGAATCTTTTGACAATGCTAAAAAGACATGACCTCGTTTGTCAAAGATGAGATAAAAGCTATGATATACTTTTTCATTGCTACACATCCAAGTAGAGTGTTAGTCCTATCTCCAAGGACTTTGATGAATAAGGCTGAGTTACTTTGTATATTTTTTCCTATATTCTGGATCTGTTGTTGCCAAGGGAATGTTGTTCTATGGAATAAGGCAGCATGCAAATCATACTCATAGGCTCATAGCCCTCCTGAATGCCCTTTATACAATTTCATTGACAAAGTCATGGCTACTATGATGCGTGATTAAAGTATACACTTTGAATAGTCTAGGCTTGTCACCATGTGTTAATTAGGCATCATTATCTTGGAGTTAATGCCATTTTTTTTTTGCAGGCTATGATGATTCACTTAACATGTGGAATGATTACAGATACATGAATCATGATGGAGTTGATATGCACTCAGTAAGTTATCTGCATTGCATCTTTGTTGTTTTTGAAGAATTTTTTTTTTTGGGTTCTAAAGCTCTTTTGTGGTTGGGGGGATTAATGTTACTGCTGCTAACTTAGCTTGTTTCATAGGTATTATGTTGCTCTATCATAGGAATTTATTGTTCGGCTGCGGAATCTATCGTTTCTTATCATACTTAATTGTCAAACTGATGACTCTTATGTTGGTATGCATTGATGTATATGTAATTGTGTTTAATGAACTGATTGGCTAATTCTTGCAGGGCCTACAACAGCGACGAGTGAATTCAGGGGTTGGTCAGGCTGCTGGGTACATGAGCAGGTCACATCTAAATGATCAAATGTATGGTCATTTTGGAAACACTTATCGAGGTGGTTCTGGATTTGGGTTGAACTATTACAATCCCAAATCAACTTGGAATTCTTGGCGAACAGTTGATAATAAATATGCATCTAAAGGACGTAACAATGGATTCTTTAGCTATGGGAATGAGAATAAGGATAGTCTGAATGAGCTTAGCAAGGGGCCTAGATCAAAGGATGTGAAAACTCAGCTTGGTTTTGGATCAGTTAAATTGGCTGTGAAAGGGCAGGATCTCACTTCGAAAGTAAATAGCAAAGAAGAAACTATCTCTACAGTTCCTGACAAGGAGCAGTATAACAAAGATGATTTTTCTGAGACTTATTCAGATGCTAAGTTCTTTGTCATCAAATCGTATAGTGAGGATGATGTCCATAAAAGTATTAAGTACAATGTCTGGGCAAGTACTCCCAATGGAAACAAAAAGCTGGATGCAGCATATCAGGAAGCCAAAGGGAAGCCTGAAAGCTGCCCTGTGTTTTTGTTGTTTTCGGTAAGTTGCTCAATTGTGCCGTGAGCTTCTCTGATAATTAGATCATAATTTGCTTTTGGATTCCATGTTTTTAACGGCATCTTGTCCTTACAGGTAAATGCTAGTGGGCAATTTGTTGGCCTGGCAGAGATGGTTGGTCCTGTTGATTTCAACAAGAGCATGGACTTTTGGCAACAGGACAAGTGGACTGGGTGCTTTCCTGTCAAGTGGCACATAGTTAAGGATGTCCCCAACAGTTTGTTGAAGCACATTACACTTGAAAATAATGATAACAAACCTGTTACAAATAGCAGAGACACACAAGAGGTAGAGTAACATCTTTGCGATATTTGATACCGTGCTTAATTTGCTTCTCCCTTGTCTCATGTTTTGCTATCCTGCTTTTTTGCCAAGTATATTGGGGTATTTTTTATTCCAAGTATATTGCATTGCTGATGATTAGTTTGTGATGCTGCAGGTTAAACTTGAGCAGGGAGTTCAAGTACTTCAAATTTTCAAGTCTCATCTGACCAAGACTAGTATTTTGGATGACTTTGAGTTTTATGAGGCACGACAAAAAGCTTTGCAGGACAAGAAGGCCAAGAGACTTCAATTCCAGAAGCAGGTCAGAATAATTTTGTTTTGTTGATGATACTTATGTCATGCTCCTGATTCTTTTGTGATTTTCTTACCGTTCTTTTTTTAAGCTGCCTTTTGTTTCTTAAAGTGATTCTTGAATCTAATCCATGCTAGTATTAGAGAGAAAGGGGGGGGGGGGGGGAGGGTTGACTTTTTTAATCTTTTAGATACTGGTATAGTTATGTTGCTGACTTTGTTGTATTTATGAGTTGTAAGTCAGTGACTAAATTTGAAGTTGATGGTATTGCTTTGTTCTGCTCTGTTTTAATCTTCTTAAACAACTTGCTGAACTAAATGCAGGTAAAGAATGAGAACAGCTCTGGAGATGTAGATGTTGCTGCCAAAGTCCTCACTGATGGATCAGCAAACACAGCTGTACCCAACGGCCAGTTCAAGACGCATCAAGAATCTGCAGCTAGACCTCAATCTTTTGCTGATGTCACCAAAGGTGTCAAAGGAGAAAAGGCAGGTGCTGCTGCTGACGTTGCATCAGCTTGAATGTGCTTCAATAATCTCGACATGGCTGGCAAATCACAGGTTTTTGATGGCAGAGTGAGAATCCAGCATAGTGCCTAGTTTTGATCCATAAGTTTTAGTTAGTTATAGGTGCTCCTTTTCTTTGTTATTGCGACTTTACCTTTTTTCTTTGATTTTTTTCTTATTGTGGGGGAGGGGGTTGATATGCAAGATATGGTTGTGTTATCTTCTATTTTTCAATTTCTTTTTGAATGTAGCCTTTTAGGGCAGATATTGATTTGCGTTTTGTAGTAAAAGGGCTGTGTTTTGGTGGATTTGGGATAGTGGTAGCGTAGCTGCATAGGACTTTCTGAGACCTAAGAGTGTGTAGTTTTAATGAAATTGAGTTTCTGTTTTCTGAGTAATGGAGATGGCGTAAACAAAGATTGTGTCACATTTATCCTGCATCACTGTTTGCCTGTTTGGTATAGATCAGATTGTATAAAAGAGTTCAGATAAAATTAGAGCCTAATTATTTTTGCGTCAAATGAATAAAACTATTGAACCATTTAGATTGACATTCCATTCCATTCTAAGCATCTTAGGCCCCGTTCTTTAGAGCTGCTCTGCTGAGCCCTATTTTGCTCAAATCGAATCTGATCTGCTCTGCTCAAAAGAAATCTAATCTGCTGCTCTATTTTAAAATAATAATTACTAATAATAAATAATATTCAATAATAATAATTATTTAAATATTCTACTTTTAATTTCAATCAATATTAATGTTTTATTATTATTTTTATGATTATTATTATTGTTGGTATTATTATTATTATTATTATTATTAATTTTTGTTATTATTATTAATTATTTTGATTATAAATTATTAATTATTATTATTATTTATTATTTATTATTATTATTGTTGTTGTTGTTAGGAAAATTATTATTATTCCCTACAAATATTTTAAAAGAAACCTAGAAGTATTAAAACTATCATATGGAAGTGGATGGTTAATTATGCACGATGTTAGACGCTAATATAATTATATTCCTATTTTGATAAGCGGTTGTAGTCATTTGAAAATATTAAGTTGTATTGTTTTATCTTTCTACTATTAACATATGTTAAATATGATACACATTTATTTATAATAATAATAATAACAACATTAATAATAATAATAATAATAATAATAATAATAATAACATTATCAATAGTAGTAGTACTAATAATAATAATAATAATAATAATAATAATAACATTATCAATAGTAGTAGTACTGTTTGGGGTAAAAATACCCTAAACACGTGGCCCAATGGCCTAGTGACACGTGGCATCCAGCCGTTGGTCAGCAGGGCTCCAATCCTCTGCTGACACGTGTCCTCTAAACCCTAAAAGGGAAACCATCCCTTCCCCACTATAAATAGTGGAAGGACCCTCATTAATGGGAGACTGGAACATTTGTTGTTCACATTGAATACTCCTCAAAAAGAAAAACACTTACCCCGAGCAATATTAATTGCAGAATTCTCCCATTACGCGAGAAGTAACTTCTACATTACGTGCATTCTACCTCCCGTATCTTTACTAACTTGATCGTCGGAGGCGGAGCTCCTACCCCCAGGAGTCTTCGTGATTTTGCAGGCACAGGCGTCGAAGGGCATTCTTGGAATTGTAACTCTCCCGCAGGACACATCAAAAAACCCCGAAACATTTGGCGCCGTCTGTGGGGAGAGTACTTCTAAGATGACTTCTGATACTGTGTCACCGAATCAGGGCAAACGGCCTGTGGTCGAGCCTGAGGTCCAGACGGACCATGAAAGTGGAGACGAAATTGAAACATATGTGGCCCCGGATGGGTCTTTCAGAACGAAGCACCCTCGTGCTAAAGATAGAAGAGAACGGGAAATCAGCCAAGCTGCTCCCAGCAACCCAGCCGGGCAACCGGCTGGAATTGCCCAAACGGTGGAGGGCTCAGCCCCCGTTACAAGAAACGAACTCATGTCTTTCATGAATAGTTTCAAGGGTGAGATCAAGAGCCTCATCCGGTCAGCTACTCCAAAGAAGGGTCAGCCGGCCAAGAAGCCTTCTGGAAAGAAGGCGGTCAAAGAACGAGTTCCTACCCCTCATCCCAAGCCAAAGGAGGGGGAGGGCTTAAGGTTTGATCCAAGCAGACTCCGTTTTCCTCAAGGGGAGCTGCGAAAGGCCATCCGGCACGTACAGCCGGATGGCTCCAAGAAAACATTCTCAGACGCCCGCACATTTCTCCAAGAGAAGCGAGGTCAGGCGTCTGCGTCGGCCTCAACGTCGACCTTCCCGGACAGTTTCCATGACGTCTCACACAGGCGTACGGGAACGAACCTTGGGAGCCAGACGGGCGAAGCTTCTGCCCGGTCTGGACCCAAAGTGATCCAGCCTGGCCTATTCGGCACACCGAATGGGTTGGGTGGATCCCCTTTTATGTCACCGGGTCTTTTCGGTGGGCAAGCGCAGCAGCCGTTCCAACCCACGGACTGGCAGCTGCGCCTGCTAAATTTGGGGGAACAGCCAACGGCGTTCTCACCAGAGATAACCCAGGCGGCACAGCCGCCTAAGATCAAGAATGTTTTGGTGGGGGCCTATGACGGCACCACCAACCCAGAAGACCATCTAATGGCCTACTCTAACCTCATGTACCTCCAGGGGTTAGATGATGCCGTCTGGTGTCGATGCTTCCCGGCTACCCTCAAGGGCATAGCCCAGCGGTGGTTTGGTAACCTACCAGCCGGTTGCATCAACAGCTTTCGAACTTTGGCGTACTTGTTTACGTCAAATTTCTCAATGAATATTCCTGCCAAAAAGACTAGCCTCGACCTAGGGGCAATACAGCAGGGCGACCGGGAGGGCCTCCGGTCATACGTCAGACGGTTCAATCTGATGAGAATTCAGATTCCAGGACTATCAGACGAAGTGGCCTATACAGACTTCTTTCGAGGTCTGAAGGATGGGTCGACCTTTAAGTTTGACCTCGTCCGGAAGAGGGTTGCTACCCTCCAAGAGGCGTTAATTGAAGCTGAAGCCTATATACAGGCGACGGAGCTTTGTGCTGTCAAGCAACCGTCAGATTATAAAAAGTCTGACAAAAAAGAGAGCCGGCAACAGCATCAGCCGGCAAGAAAGGAAGAAAAGAGAAAAGGGGTCTGGGCAGCTGACCGATCAGGACAGCCGGCCCAGAAGATCAGGCGGAAGTCAGAATCGTATGCTCCCAAATACGAGTTCGCAAAAGATTGCTCCACCATCCTCCTGGAAATCAAAGACCGGATGTCTCTCGACAAACCGGCTGAAATGAAAAGCCCCGTGAATAAACGGGACAAGAGCAAGTATTGCCAATACCACGAGGATGTCGGCCACGACACCGATGGCTGCTATAGCCTCAGGCGGCTATTGGACCGTCTGGCAGATGAGGGGGCCCTAAAATCCTACCTACCCAAGGCTAAGGGTAATACCCAGGCCAAGAAAGGGCAGGCGGCAAAAACCGGCCCAGCAAACTCCGAGACGGATGAAGAGACCATCTTCACAATAGCAGGCGGTTTTGCCGGAGGGGGTCCTACCATCCGGGGCACCAAAGACAACATCAGGAAGCTGGTCAACTCAGTGGATGAGGGCCAGGCGTCGAAAGACATCTTTCCTGAGGTCCTTATTTCTGAAAAGGACCGGGGCAAGGTCAGGCGGCCTCATGATGACCCCATCGTCATCGAATGCAAGGTTGCCAACCAGAAGGTTGGCCGAATCCTAATAGACATCGGGAGCTCGTCTGACCTAATCAGTTATCAGTGCTTGACCAAGCTCAAGTACACATCCGGTAACATGCACCAGGCTCCTCACCCACTAGTCGGTTTTGGGGGTGGAGTAGTGCATCCGGTCGGAAGCATAGATCAAGTTTTTAGTTGTGGAGGAGCTGTCCGCCTACAACATGATATTTGGCCGTCCTACCCTCAACGCATCTAAGGCTGTCATCATCCTGTCCCTCATGTTGGTCAAATTTCAAAAGGATGATGGTACAGTCGGTGCCCTAAGCGGGGACCAGAAGACGGCAAGAGAGTGCTATCTCTCTGACGTCAAGACAACTATGGGTGCAGCCGGCCAGGGCGAGCCCATAGATATTGATAACTGCGACCCAGCAGTCCCGGCTCCAAGAAAAGAAAGGCGGACCAACTGGCACCCGTCAAAAAGGAGAAATAGCAATCACTAGTCGGGGAAAGGTCAGATGACCAACGACCTCAGCCGGCTGGTGACTGCCTTGATGTCATCCTAGATGACAGCCGTCCTGAAAGAACAGTCAAGGTCGGGACGGTAGCCTTCGAACGGTTGGGAGAAGGCTTGCTCCAGCTGCTGAAGGAATTCAAAGACATCTTTGCCTTTGAAGTGGAAGAGATGCCAGGCGTCAGCCCGGATCTTGTTGTCCACAAGCTAGCCGTAGATCCCAAAAAGCAGCCGGTTAGGCAGAAAAAGAGGGATCATGACCCGGTTCGGGGTTCCAATGTCCATTTTGGGATCATTTTGGGACCTTATACGCCTGCATCAGGCGGCCGCCGCTACATTCTTGTAGCAGTAGACTATTTCACCAAATGGGTTGAGGCAGAGGCAGTAAAAGGGATTAAAACGAAAGACGTGATTTCTTTCATCTAGAGAAACGTCATCACCCGGTTCGGGGTTCCAATGTCCATGGTTTTCGACAACGGACCGCAGTTCGAAACGCCTGTCCTGAAGACCTGGTTGGGAGACCAAGGAATTTCCCATTGTTTTGCATCCGTTGGCCGTCCTCAGGCAAACGGTCAAGTTGAGGCTTTTAACAAGTTGATCTCAGACGGGATAAAGAAGAAAGTAGAAAGAGCCGGTGGACTATGGGCAGAGGAATTACCTCATGTCCTTTGGGCTATCCGGACAACCGAAAAGGGGGCAACCGGTGAGACCCCATTTCTCATGACATACGGCACTGAAGCAGTTCTTCCCATTGAACATTATGAGCCTACTCTACGCATTATGTTATATGATGAGGAGGCTAACTGGGAAGCCATGCGGTTGGCATTAGACGCTCTTCCAGAGCGAAGGGGGAATGCTGCCTTGCGTCATGAGATCTACCGTCTGCGTATGACTAGAGCCTACAACAAGCGGGTTCGTAAAAGACCTTTGAAAGAAGGAGATTTTGTGCTTCGCAAAATGGAGGCAACCGGTAGGGCCAATGAACAAGGCAAATTAACCCCAAATTGGGAGGGACCCTACCGGATCTTTGAAGAAGTACGAGACGACACTTACCGCCTGGAAACTCCAGACGGAAGAAAGTTGCCTAGAACTTGGAATGTAGATAACCTCAAAAAATACTACTTCTAAGTATTGTACATCTTTTGAAAATTTTCAAATGATTAATGAGAATTACATTCAATTTTGTATACAGCCGCCATGTCTTGTGC